GATTAACCAGCAGATTTGCCCCCGTGTGATAACGTCCTATGATTCTAAAACCAAAAGACAAAAAATTAAAGAAAAGAGCAGTAGGAGATCATGAGAAGAATGTATCATTAGCCAGTTGGAGCAAAGAGGTCCGAATTGCTGGTTATCTTTTCCCACACAAGGAGAGCCACCCGTATCCGAACTCCTCGGCCTTCCTCAAGCTGATTTTCCTTCTAGCAACAGCTGCATTGCATATTGCACATGAGAAAAATGTCATCGCGTCGGCTGCGGAAAGCGTGATGTTCCCCATAACAACCGGCTCCCGAGTCAACATGACATCAACTCAGAAAACACTCAGAAGAGAAAGGCCTTCCTCCTCCTCCGGGGATGAAGTTCGGCTTTCTTCGCAGGTGGCCCTGGTGTTCAAGGATTCACAGAAAGTTGTTGCTGTTGTCGTCGTCGTATGCCTTCATCTTATTGTTGTACTTTCCCAACTTCTACTGACCGACAGGGTTTTCTTGGCAAGGTTTGCTCAGAGAGGATTCCTCTGAGGCTGAGAGAGTGGGACTTGCCCAAGGGCGTTTCCATAGTTGAGCGGGGATTCGAACCCTGGTCCCCAGAGTTGTAGTCCAGTGCTTAAACCACACCACCACCCTGGCTCACCCACCAAGGAAAAAATTTAAAACTATTTTAATGTCTTCAAAACTCAGTTTCAAGTTTGTGGTGGTGGTGGTGATGTGCCTTCAAGTTATTTCCAACTTATGGCGCCCCAAAGGCGATCCTATCATAGGGTTTTCTTGGCAAGGTTTGTTCCAAGGAGGTTAGCCACTGTCTTCCCCTGAGGCTGAGAGCATGTGACTTGCCCACAGTCACCCAATGGGTTTCTTATATCATCATTTTCCCTCCCTTTTAGTAGCACTTAATTTTTATAAGCAAAGCATGCCATGGCTCAAAAATCAGGGCTCTCCCTGTTTATTCCAGATTTAGAAAAGGCTGAGTAGAATTCAGCTTTCACTAAGCTCTTGGATGCCCTCTGCCTCCAGTTTTATTAATATGCACATTGTACCAAATTAGGCTTTTGGTTCACTTTATATTGTATGGTCAACAAGACAAACTTATACCATTGAAGTTTCAGGTAGGAGTCTGTATCTCTAAGTGATAGGGGCATTCCCAATTAATCCTCTGCCTTCTTGCTGCTTTTAAAATGTCCCAGTTTCTTCTGCCTCCTCCCACTTCCCCGCTTTGTCCTCCGTTGCTGCAGACTGAGTTCAAAGTGCAAAAGTAGTTTGCACTCAGTTAACTCAAGAGAAAAAAGAGGGTGAAATCTTCACCTTCCCTGAAGGCTCAGGCAAAAGCAAACTGCTGCAGCCTCTCCTAGCTTGCGTTTCCTTCTCCATTAATAACTTTTGCCACCTTGAGCACATTCTAATGTTGCATGGCCACACATGTTCCAGTTTTCACCTGTGAAACGTTGCATGAGCACCTTTCCTGGACATACATGAAGAACGTAGGGGCTAAACATGGCAGCCTCTGCCTGCAGAGCATGTGCTCCGCCACTAAACAATGGCCTTTCCCAAAGGTAGTGAATTACTACACTGTTTCTGCATGCCAGGGCTGTTTTCCCATGACTGTCCCAGACTGGAAGTCAGTTAATTTTTTGCACTAGTTTGAGCCAAGTACTGCAGAGCGGTCCTTTGGTCTGTTCATTCACTTGGGCGATTTCATTAGCTAAATGCCCTTCACTTCTGACAAATCCCAGGCAGGCTTCCATCGCTCTGCTTCCACTGCCCCTCCCATCATCTGGTTTGGCCTTTCAGGATGATGGAAAGGCAGTATCACAGACTGGCCAGCAGGTATTGGTGTTTTACGGCATTTTAAGTTAATTTCCTATTATGATTGCTGCTGTTGTTATTGTTATTATTAGGGAGGCAGTCCCCTCCACCTCAGAAACACAATGGAAATATGTCAAAACTATTGTATAGTTATATAAGAGGCATATAGGTGCATCAGTTTAATTAAACACTCAACTGTTCATCTTCTCATTAACAGAATTTGTGCAAGCTGTTTTCTTGGACTACAACTCTCCGGTAACCCTCCACCAGCTACTTATACTGCTTGGGGAAATTCTGGGAGTTATAGTTCCCCCCCCCCAAAAAAAAAGACTTTCCCAAGCTCTGCTTAATACAAGTTAGAAGTTATAAAAGCAATTTTTCATCAACTCAGCTGAAGTACAGTGGGCCCTTGGTATCCGCTGCAATTTGGTTCCAAGAGCTCCCATGGATACCAAAATCCACAGATGCTTAAGTCCCATTAAATATAATGGCACAATGAAATAGTGTCCCTTATATAAAATAGCAAAATTCGGGTTTGCTTTTTGGAGTGTGTGTGTGTGTGTGTGTGTGTGTCCCTGGTTGGATCCATAGACAAAGAATCTGTGTATATGAAGAGCTGACTACAGTACCTAGAATAAACTCTCCATTGTTTTTCTGCTTAACAGCTACTAAATGTCATCACATATCCACCAAATGTCCCAATTTGATGGAGATAGTTGCAATTAATCCTCTGCCATCCCACTATTCCAACTGCTTTCAAAGTGTCCCAGTTTCCCTCTCCCATTCCCCCGTTGTCCTCAGCTTACTTCAATTCCTGCAAACTTGAATTCAAAATGCAAAAGTCATTTGCACTCCGTTAACTCAGAAGCGGGAAGAGAAGAGGAAGGAATCATGCCTTCCCTTCAGGCTCATGCAAATGCTAACTGCTACAGCCTTTTATCCGTTCTTCCTCATGAATCACCTTTGCCATTTTGACCATACAGCGATGTTGCTTGGCCATAAGTGTCCCAGTTGTCATCTGGGAATAGTTGGAGGGTTTGCATGCCTCGTAGATGCAAATGCAACCCCCGCCAATGCAAACTGTTCAATCTGGAAGTGTACAGACTGAACATAGTGGAATCTGGATATGTACAGACTGAACAAGGGGGAGAATGAACGAGAAAGAAAGTGGGATAACTCCCAGGAACCTGATACTTGAAAGCACAGATTGCATTCACAGAGATTGGCAAGAGGGCCTGCATCCAGAAGCGATCTCCAGAAAGGGCATCTTTCGTTAGTGTAAAAAGTCATGCTGAGGTCGCCCATTAATATTTATCGGGGAGGAAAGCTGAGCTCCCACGGAGGTGAAGAATAGTGGCGAACAGGTGCTGCCATTTGCTGGCATGTTGGCTTCCCGGAGAAGGACATGCTGTTAATAAACCAAATAAAAAAAAAACCCCAATCACAGGTGGCTTGGTTTTCAAATGGAAGGTGGTCCCTTGGCACTGCCTTTGCATGGTTTCCCTGCTTTGCCCAGAACATACACATTCCCCCTGGCAGAGTCAGAGTCTAAATTTATGACCAGCAAAGTTGTAGGTGGCAAAGAGGCCCAAAACAGCCTCGTTCCAAGCCGAGCAACTGCCAGGGAAAGACAGACTTGAGATCCTGAAGTCAGCATAAAGAGTACTCTATTAGGTGGGCCGTTAATCTCTCCATGGTGGCCTCTTCAGTATTTGGAAGAGTATGTGGCTCAGCAGCTAGTTGCATGCTTTATGAGAAGATCCCATGCTGGGACTCAAAAGAGATCTCAGAAGAGCTAGGGAAAGCGTGAAGAGAGCCACTTGCCCAGCAACCTGGCCATGCTGGCTGGGGATGATGGGGTGTGCAGTCAGATCTTTCGTTTATTTATTTATTTAGAGCATTTACACACTGCCCTTCAGCCAAAAAGGCTCCACAAGTAGCTTGCAAATGGTTAATCTGAACATTCTCTGCCTTCAAATTTGCAAAACTAAAAAGATAGGATGCACAAGGACTAGGAATGGCAGTGAGGGAAGGGATTAAGTCCTGGTTTAAGATGCTGGCTGCTCTTCTCTCCCTTTGAGGCCAAAGCATGATGGATCTGTGCCTGGCTGCTCTTCTTCTCCTCAGATCTCCCTGTTACAAGTTCCCCAGTTCTGCATAAAATTCATTCTGGTGTATGTATGTTCTGCTCATAAGAATGAAGATTATTTCATTAATAGCCACATTGTCATAACACACTATATTTCATCACGAAAGTTTGAATACCCGCCAATCCACCAGAAACACAGACAGCTTTGAGAATGCCACTGAGATTTGAGCTCTGGGTTCAAAAGGGAACATTCTACCTGGGTTTTTAATAAATCCCAACAGTAATTTTAATGAAATATTTGGATCTGGAATGGCCAGCATGGTGCAGTGGTTTTGAGCGTTGGGTTAGGAATCCAGGAGACCAGGGTTAAAATTTCTGCTTGGAAACCCACTGTGTGACTATGGGCATGTCACACTCTCTCAGCCTCAGAAGGCAGCAGTGGCAAGCCCCTTCTGAAGAAACCTCACTGAGAAATCCCTGTGACAGGTTCACCTTGGAAGGATCACCATAAGTCAACTTGAAGGGACACAAGGGCAACAATTTGGCTCTGGAGACCAGCCTTTGAGAAGCAGAGTGACAAGTAGATTGCAAAATGCCCAAAAAGAGCATCGTCAGGGGAAAGCTTTCAAGAAGAGCTCCATGTAACTAGCTTTAGGGAAAAAGAACAGGTTGAGGGAACAAGCTGCCAGTTTGGTTTTGTTTGTTTTTTTAATGAAAAATAGAGCTAATTTAAAGCTAGTTTAAATTTGTTGTGTTGATCCTTCTGTGTAAGGTTAGTCCGTAGCTTCAAATTTATGGTCTCTTTGAATGTTCGTTTTGCACTATGCCTTTAAAAGATACCCTGTCCAGCTGCTTCCAGAAATACTGGAGTGCCACTGCAGTGCGCCCTTGTGCCATCACTGGTGCCAAGGTGCTGCCGTGAGCATTGCTGTCAGCATCCGTCCTCTCAGAGGAATGCTGCTGAACATGGATTGTCAGAGCCTCTTTGCTCTGCAAAGCACTTTTGTGGCATCTGCAGCAAGGGGAAAAAAATGCAACCCTCTCAGCATCTAAAAGACAAAACCTGCACATCAGGGAAATATCTCTTGCCCTGCAAGAACTGGGCTGACTATTGGAGCCAACCCACCTTTCAGTTCAATTCCTTGGTCTCCCAAACGACCACAGAACTTTTGTTTATGCACAACATTTTGTATTTGCACAACATCTCTTTGGTGTGGTTTACATATGGCAACCCTAAGGCGACCCTATCCTGGGGTTTTCTTGGCAAGATTTGTTCAGAGGTGGTTTGCCATTGCCTTCCCCTGAGGCTGAGAGGATGTGACTTGCCCAAGGTCACCCAGTAAGTTTCATGGCTAAGCGGGGAATCGAACCCTGATCTCCAGAGTTGTAGTCCAACACTCAGACCACTACACCACACTGGCTCCATATATATATATCCATATATATCCACTCAGCCTCAGGGGAATGCAATGGCCACACTGGTTCCATATCATATCATATCATATCATATCATATCATATCTCATATAATAATATAAAGCAGACTATCCAAGACCAGCACCGTGTAGTGGTTTGAGCACTGGACTATGACTCAAGGCCAGGGTTCAAATGCCCCGCTCAGCTACTGAAACCCACTGGGTGATTTTGGGCAAGTCACACTGTCTCAGCCCCAGAGGAAGGAAAAGCAAAGACAAAACCTTTCTGAAGAACTCTTGCCAAGAAAACCCCACGATAGGTTT